AGAAAGTTAATAACAGTGTTATTAACTTTCAGAAAGCCTTTCAATTTTCTATTTGAGATTCATTACTAGAAAGAGTAAAAAAGTATTTTCCCTTTTTCCTTTTTTTGGTGCATTTTCCTGAATCTTTTTGAAATTATTTAATTTAAGCCTTTTTCCTGCTTGTGACAGAAAAGTAATATCAAAGATTGTCAGTCTTAGAACCTCTACAATGATATATATATATAAATATATGTGTATATATATATATATATATATATATATATATATATATACATATATAACATGTATTATCATTATTTTTTTACATTTTGGGAAATTTATAAATACATTATTGGTAATCTTTTAAGATTGTTTTACTATATTTTAAGACATGCCTGCCTTATTTGCAACCAGACATATAGATCAATAAGTTGGCCTGATTTTGAACCTGTGCTTTATTTTTTGCTGCTTTCCTCAGGTACATGTGTTTGGTTTTGGTGCAGACAGCCAGGGAAGCTGGAGTCATTACTGGGAAACCCTTCGAGATAAGAGCTTCAAAACCGGACCACACCCTGGACACCATGAACATGCAATTATACAAAATCTTGCTGATGGAAAAACAGTAAAGCTTTATAAAGGCTCATAACTTTTCTTCTCAAACTTTAAAAGTCAGATTTTCATTCCTATTTTGTTGACATTACTTGATTTGTTGTTATAGTAACAACAGGTTGTTTTTTGGTGGGTGTTTTCTTATTACTTTTTAACCAGTTACCATTTTTTATCCATATTGTGACAAAATGTCAAGTTAAAGCAAGCTAAGATATTTTCACTCTTTTTTTCCTTCGTGGCTCCTATGTGATCTTTGATTTTGAACCCTAGCGGATCACAAAAAAAATAATAATAGGAAGAAATACTTCAAGGATTATCAATGAGAAACTTTTGGGTCTAAATCTTTGGTGAGAAAAAAATCCAAGAATGCAGCTGTTTATACACTTTTGACAGTGCCACATTTAAGGCCAGTAAAACTTTACAGGTGTGCATATTTTAAACATGGGAATTGGGTTCATGACACAGAGAGAGGACATTAAAATAAGGTGCAAATGAATTTGTATTTGCAGTTCAGCAGCCTAAGAAACTGCAAGCTGGATTTTGTTTATGTTCCTTGAAGGCATCTTGAAAGAGTCATTGGAACAATGCCAGAGGATTGGGAGACATTCTGTGCATCTAAACCAATTTTGACTGTCAAAAATAATGATATTAATTCCATGCAGGTAGTTACAAAGTCATGCAGAAGAACAGCAGACAATCTTTATAACGTTATCTTTGGCTTGATATGTTTCATGGGCTACAAAATTTAAAAAAACAGAACCATTGCTCGTAGTTTTTGTTTCTTATCCGTTCTTATCTGATTGGTTTTAACCTGATGATGCCGACCATGTTAGTCCCGCCTTTAAAATACAGCTTTACCAGCTCTTTACCAGAATGAATGCTGAGCATAATGTATGTCATATAAGTCTGGCCAGCAACCAGTATTAAAATTTTCATTTTTATTTATTCTATTTGGTTTAACTATATGTATCTGTGCGAGCCAGTAGACCTGTATTGCTTTATTAATATTGGACTAAAATTATCTTTGTTCGTCCAAATATGCTAACATACACACATGGTACCTCTTCTGGCATTTGATCAATTGCTCGTTTTTTTGAAAGGATGCCAACAAGTATTTTAGAGTGTCAGTTTGCGGCTCACTTTCAGAAGTACTATAAAAAAGGCGCACAAACTGCAGTGGAGTTTTCCATTTAGAAAATTGCTTTGCACATAGTAAATATTTCCATTTTCATATCCTTCAGCTATTGAGTTGAAAGAGTTTGGTAATTAGAATATGACCAGCACACAAAGAAAAAGGTTTGCATAGCCTGTCTACTGAACTGAACAAATCACTTTGTGCCTTCTTTGGAGATCTGGGTGACATAAAACTGGACAGTTGGACCCAGTAATTAAGGTGAAAGAGACCGTGGGAAAGTTCAAACTTTTTATTTAAATAAACAGACAGAAACAGAAGCACAGAGCAGTGGGTCACCACCCAATCCCTGAGAAACCCTGATAAGTAACCACGATGATCTGACAGGAGATGATTATCTGTGTGAGTCACTTAAGTACCTGGTTCAAAAGTTCAGAGCCCTGGATCCAGCCAATGGACTGCCAAACGAGCTGCATTGCAGGGCCACCAAGAGTGTCTGTGTTGCAGCAACCTCAGTGAGCAGGCAGGAATCTGATCCAGGTGAGAGATACAGATCAGACACGAACAGTTCTGGAATCCAGGAGTCCGCAGGCCGATCAGGGGTTACAATCCAAACAGGAAACGAGAGATCCAGGGTTCCAGGAATCCACAGAGCGTGAAGGCAGGTTCAGAGTTCCATGCTTCCAGCAGCGAACTCAGACAGAAACGCACAGATGCAGACAGGCAGGCTTAGCAGCTGAGGGACAGAGTCAAGACCTGATATCAGGATAACTGCGAAAAAAACTGGTCTCCACCTAGGAGCAAGGCTTACGGGAATTAAAACTGTACTCCACCGAGGGGCCAGGACAGGATAAGGAGGCGAGACGAACGCCAAAACCCTCTCAACCCACTGGCCTCCAGGGACGAGGACAAACAACAATCAATGATCTGGCTCCGATAGCTGGGTTGACCCGTATATAAAGCAAAACGAGCAGGTGGATGATATGAGTGATAATTAGAGATCAAACGGAGTAGGGCAGGCGAGTGTCATGAACAGTTAAGTTCAGCTATTAGGGCAGATTGTGACACTGCCGGGGTGGTTGGAGGGTAACATTTGACTTTATTTATTTTTTACAAATGTTTCAAAACTCAGAGAAGAGGTACCTATGTAAAGTGTTCTATAACTAATATTTGGTATTATAATTGTATTATTTCCTCCAACTACATGGGTTAGAACCACTTCATTTTTCTTTTACCACCATTCTGAAAAGTAAAATGTGCAATACACTCCTCTTAATGTGCAGGACCCAAACAGTTTGCATTCCCCAAAACTTGCACAACAGTCTTCATAGATCTCCTACAACACACCCACTTTACCACCTACTTAAAATAAATGTGTGTGCAATTTATAGCTTCTTCTTCAAAATCTTTGAAGACCAGGCAATTTGCTTGTTATTAAAAAAATATGCGTTGTATGGTTTGTTCTTTTACTAAGAACCATTCAGAAAATGTTTACAAAAAGGAAGATGTGAATTAAAAATAAGAAGAACTATACAAAATGTGGACATGCTGTATCTAGTAGTGGATTGACTTTGTGCTACAAATGGGATATAGACAGACCAAGCAAAGTCAAACAGAATAATAGGTAACAAAAAAGGTATAAAAGCACTTTTTAAATAGCTAAATGAAAATGAAGGGTATAAATAATGTAACATTTGAGAAATTATATTATAATCTAATATTTAAACTGTTCAAACTTGTGTTTATTATAAAATTGATGTGCAATAACAGGGATATGTATCATTTAATATTAGAAATGTAGTCTATTATGTATGATATACTGTAGATGCATAAAGTAATTTGATGACATGCTTAAAAGTTTCAGGCAATAAAAAAGGTCTAAACTTCTTCTCAATACTTTTTTCAGTTAAGCTGATGATGTATTGCACTTTGCAGTTGTATTTTTGTTTACATATATATGTGTATGTGTTTGTATGTGAGCATTTAGATATTTATGAAGGAATGAAATAATGTATTATTTCTTGTTTTTATGCATAAATGCTAGAAATATGTATATTAATTAAAAATAATAATATATTAAATAATCTCTGCAGGGTTGCACTCCTTTTTTTGTTTTTTGTACATACTGGTATAGATTATATTATTAGTTTATAATAATTTTCTTGTGAGTAATTCAGTTGTTTAATAAATATGAGCTAACGGTTACCAAAGACTGCTATAGAGGCCGTGCAGCTGACATCAACCAACCATATAACAGCCTTGACTCCTTCTCTTTGGACAGCAAAACAAACCTCATGTGCAACATGCCCTGCACTGATTGCTGTTTTCCACCATAATACCTTGAAAACATAAAAAAAAAAACACTGTTAAATGGGGGAGTGGTGGCCTAGTGCTTAGGGCATTGTGCTTGGATCCCAGAGGTTCTGAGTTTGAATAATAATAATAACTGAACTTTATTGATCTTTATTTACCTCTGCATTTAACCCATCCCCTTGGGGAGCAGTGGGCTCCCATCATGGGGCACCTGGGGTGGAATCAGGGGTTAAGGGTCTTGACACAAGGATGTAGAGAACACAGCCTTCAACAACTTTTTCAAAGCTTCTTTGTGCTCTCCAAGAGCAACAGTCATTTCTTTTAAGGAGTTTTTCATAATCTGTTAATAGTGGTGGTATTTATGAAATGAATCACATGAATTCTCTAGATCAGCGGTCCCCAACCACCGGGCCGCAGACCGGTACCGGTCCGTCGGTCATTTGGTACCGGGCCGGACAGGAAGAAAAAAAATATATATATAATTTATCGACGATCAGAGTCTGAGTGATGTTTTATTTTGAAAAATATAAAAACTCTCCCAATTACATCAGTCAGTGCATCTGTGCCTCTTGACACAGGTTAATTCAGGTCAAGACGCATCCTATTTGTAACATCCCATCTTTGTGAAGCAGGATTTTCTGCGGTTATGGCGACCAAAACAAAGCTACGGAGCAGACTGGACATTAGGAGCACACTTTGTGTGTCATTGCCTCCCATTACGCCTAGATGGGACCGGCTTGTTTCGGAGAAACAAGCTCAGGGCTCCCACTAATTCAACGTAATGGTGAGTTTTATTTTTATGCTGTTTGTATGGATCCGATCCGTGGTGCAAAAAAGGTTGGGAACCGCTGCTCTAGATGGTTACATGAACCCTTGCCAGGAACTAGGGTGGCCAGATGTCCGGCTTTAGGGCGGACAGTCCGGATTTTCATTGCGCTGTCCGGCGTCCGGCGCTGCACCCAGCCGGACGTGTATTTGTCCTCCTTTACCCCCAGATTCCACATACTCCGTCAGCGCTCCGCCCCGCTCACGTACGGAGTACTTGTCTGTCTTCTTCTTCTTCTT